AAAATATAAAATAGCAAAAGAAAAAAGAAAAAAGAGAGGAATTTAAGTGTGTAGATTTAGTAGCCCAGTGTGCCCAAGTGTGTGGGCCATCCAGGTCAGCTCGCATGACTAAACTAAACCTTTTTCTTATTATTTTTAAAAGGTAGTTGGCCTTTTTTAAAATTAAAAAAGCAAGTGGAGTCAGTTGGCCAAGTCATCATCATAGGGGATATAGGTATTATCGAACAACAAATACTGACCTTTACAATTGGTCTTTACAATTGAATCATAACCTTATAGCAATGCAAAGTAAACTTCCCCCCATTTCTAGAATGGGGCAAAAACCTTTTCTTTTTTTTTTACTAACAATAAATAGGTAAATTCATGAAAGTTTAGAGAGGCTCAAGGGTTTAAACCCATTGTAAACCATGAAAAAAAGCATATACTAAGAAAATCACAAGTAACGCATTATCTACTTTTTATAGAATTCTATGACCAAAGGTTGCTGAAAAAATAAGCCTTGAGTTTTTTTGCTTAGAAATCTATTCTTTAGCCCAATTTTTTTATATTTCATCTAGAAAACACCTTAAATTCCTTGATAAATTTATCAATAGCCTCAAACAACCCAAAAAAAGCTTAAAAACCTTGAATCAACTTGAAACCTTAAAACATTCTCATTATCAGATCTACCTTCTTGAGCAAAATAAAGGGGAAAAAACACCTTGATAAAACTCTTTTCATTAAGTGAAACTAATTGACACTAATATCAATCATTTTTATAAATTAAAAAAAAATTGACAATTGAGAGAATTAATTATTCCAGTCCACGGTGATTTGTGAAAAAGTGCATAATACATATTAAACAATGAAAGTACCTCATATTTTAGTATTTTATAATTATTTAGTACAACACAATCCAATATTATAATAATTAAACAATATCAAATAGATATTAAACGAGTTTTCATGGACTATCTCTATTAGTTGAAAAAATGATGCACCAAGAAGTGGTAGGGTTATAGTTATTTAACTAGATAGGTGGTCAACACTTCACCACGAGCCTATTTAATTTCTTTTGTAACCTAAAATAATGATGTTAAAGCATTGCCAACGTGTTTTAAAGCGAAAACAAAATCATGAGTTGAGTTATAAATATTAATATTAAAGGAATTGGATGAAAATAAATTGAAAAAAAAAGCCCCAACCTAATTCGAGTTAACAGGGAAAACTTGTAATTCAGATCATGAGTTTAGGATATCCTTATACAAAGCATATAGGGAAAAAAAACTCAATATTTAACAAATACAACATAAAAGGCTGAGAACGAGAAAGAAAATAGGTTTAAAAAAATTAAAAAATAAAATTGATATCAACTTAAACTAACATCTCATAGTCGTGATCCGAATCATCAAATTAAAATGATTACTTTGAAAAAAATAATAAAGCTCAATCCTCAATAATCTAATGTTGAAGGCTAAAAAACAAAAGAAAATCAATTTTAAAAATTTTAAAAATGATGAAAAAATTGACATAAAAATAAAATAAAATAAAATGATGTAATTGCCCCGAGCCAATCCAAGCTAGCATGGAAAATATGCTATCCGGACCGACCGCGAGGCCAAGTTATTGTCATAAAAAGTGAAACCAAAAAAATAAAAAAGCTTAGTCTTCAATAAATTCGATGTTAAATGATAAAATTAAAAAACAAAATCAGTTAAAATAAGACATAAAAAAGGCTAATATCTATCTAGGTTAAATTTTCATACATGTAACCCAAGTCATGAGACTGAAATCATCATACTGAAAAAATTAATGAAGCCCAATTCTAAACAAATCAATTATTAAATGATAAAATTGAAAAACTATATCTAATTTTTTAAAACAAAGAAAGGAACCAAGAAAAAAAGAATTAAAAGAATGGGACCTAAATTTGATATAACAATTAAATTAAATCAAACGATAAGGGATGAAATTGAAAAATAAATTAAAAAAATTAAAAATCAAGAAAATGATGATAAAATTTGATATAAATACTAAATAAGAAAAAATTCTTAGAGAAAAAATTAAAAAAAATAATTAAGAATAATCAAAAAAATAAAAACCACAACTGAAATAAAAAAAATGAAGGACAACCTTTAATTTTAGTTGGTTTAACACATTTTTCAAGGGAAAGTTAGAGAAAATAAGGGAGGATCCATCTATCATCTAATCATCACGAAACTCCTTTCATGCAACGCCTCATTGGATGCAGCTCCACGTGATCTATAAAAAGAGATGATGGTTGACTGTTTTTTGTTGTTGAAAGTCACAACATGCACCAAGTTTTCTTTATTTTTCTATTTAATTTATCAAAAAACCTAAGTGTCGTAACCCTACATTATATTAAAAAAATGCAATAACGAAAAGATTAAAAAAAAAAACTCTTTAACCTCAGCCATAATAAATAAATACTAGTTATTCATGGTGAGTTTAGTCATGTAATGTTTATGAACAAAAAGTTGTTTGTGGTTCACTAATATATGAAACTATGTAAGAAATGTTTTTGGAAGGAAATAATGAGGAAATAGAATAAAAGAATAAAATTTTAAGAATGATTTGGTGATTAAATGAAAAATTATATGTTAAATCAAATTAAAGAGTTTTCCTTATCTACACTTTGAGTCAAGATGAGTTATTAAAATTATTGATAGGTTAATAATGTGATGAAATTTTGTTGATTCAGGATAGGTTGCCAAAGCAAGATCTTAATAAGAAGAAGTTGAATTGTCTCAAGCAGCAGATAGGTATTCAGTATCTTAGAATTATAAATTTACTCTTTAAAGAACTCTTAAATCGAAATAAGTTTTAAATTTTATCTTCATAATTTGACTACATTAATATATTTTTAGATGTTTAAACTAATTTTTTATTAATGAAACTAGTGCCCTATCGAATGGGCTAATATGAAAATTAGGTCCTGGTCAATGCAGAACCATTGCCTTATCAACCAAGTAATTGCTGAAACTAGTTTCTAGATAATGAACTGTCAAATGAGAAAATATTGTAATTAGATCTTGGTTAATAAAATTTACTTATATAATAGAATTAATACCTTATTTAATGGCTAACCTTAGAAATTGATTTTTTAATTAAAGGAATCAAGGTTCAATTAAATGGCAGTTAGAAAATTAAATTACTGGGTTTTTATGAATGCTTATTGAATATTTAAGAATTTGGAAATTTAAATAATGTTTTAAAAAAATAATTATTTGGAAGGTGAATAACTTTACTTAAATAGTATTATTATTATGTTTATAAATGACTTAATGATGGACTAATATATGTTACTCTATATGTATGCATTTGAGGGTCTTTTTTGAAACGTGTAGATTATTAGGGAGCTTAAGATTAATACTTTTGGTGTTATGACCATGTAGGAAAGAAAGACTCTACATTTTGTATGTAATTTATCACTTTTTGTATTAGATTAATGTATTAGGTGATGCTAAGTAATCTGATCTTAAATTTCAATTTTCTTAATTTAATTGTTAGTATATTGTATGTGTGTTTTAAATTTGATGAATTTTAATTAATTGAATTAATAATATGTTGTCTTTGAATAATGTCAATAAATCTTGTTGTGGATATAATTTGTTTGGATATGGATCAAATGTTGAAAATCTTGACTGAAATAATACAGATTATTATTAATAACTTGAAATCTTCTTGATATATTCTCGATATGTAGGGGAAATTCTTCTGAATTTTTACTAGAAATTTAAGTGAGGATTTAAATTAAAAAAAATAATTCATACTCCCATAATTATACAGTGATTATTTTAATTTTGTATTACAAAATGTTGAGAAATATTACAAAATCGTGGTACCTCATTCAATTTAGTAATAACAAATAGATGCCGTGACAAAAATGACTCCCCCCCTGAAATCAAGTTACGTGGTTTTTCCACTATAGATAGCTAAGTTTACGGTGTGAATTCACAATAAATAATGAATGTATGCAAAATGATTCCTTAGCCGCTTTTACTTTTTGTTTGAATGGTAATAGTAATAACAGCAAAAACAGTATGGAATAGGAACCAAACCTTACGGAAAGATCACAGGACCCTCTTTGTTTTATTCAAGACCGTTAAAGACCACAATCCATCCCCTTTTGGATTGGATGGGTTTGGGGTTTTTCACCTAAGCAGCTGGAAATCACCAAGCTCGTCTTTTTAATTGTAACAAATTTACTAGCGGCCAGCCACACTGATTAATTTGCCCATAGCCCTTCTCTCATGATTCATCTGATTTTCTGAGTGCAAAACTCAGTTGAGTTGGTCAGTCATGCTTCAAATGACTGGCGTTTCTTGCATGTTCAACCTATTTAATAAGGATCTTGATCATGCACCTTTCTTTTACTCCCTAGCTAGTCCAATATCACCAGTTTAATCTTTAAAGGAAAACAAATGCCTCAGTATCCCCAACTGATGAAAAATATCACAGAAACATAAAAGAGAGTAAAAAAAACATGCTTGTCTTTGCTTTTAGTAGGGTTTTCTTTTGTTGTATTAAATATTGGGATGATCATGGGACCCACTATTTTACACTTGTGATTTTGTCTGGGGGGGTTCGAAAACGTCAGCATCTCAGAACCACCTGTCTGGTCCGTGCTCCGTAGTTCCGAGAACTAAAACGCGGAAATGAGAAAATATCTCACCACTAGCACTGTACCATCTCTCTTCCAAGGCAGAAGAATGCAAACCCACAGCAGCTAAAAGCCAAATCTCCCGTCAATTTCGATCATGCAATAGCACATAAGGAAAAAAGGCAAAAAGCAAACCCACAAAGGAAATCACCCACCACCATCAAAGATCACCCACAGAATTAGTTGCCCATTATGAAATTACATTTTGGGCAGTTTAAGGACCATATACACCACCCTTCATTGAGACATAGGTGACCCTATATGCTGGACGCCATGCTTTGCTATCTGCTGTCCACTGACCCTAATTAGAAAGATGGCACAAGCCCAGAGGAAAATATAATCGAAGTAAAGGCAAATGATAGATAGGTTTTTGCATGTGAACATATCAACTACAAATGGTTTATTCCGATCCACATGTGATTGATCTCATCTGAATCACTTCCACGGGCACACCTCGGAATATATAAATAAAGCTGAAAGGCTGAAGAGATGACCACAAGAAACAAAGGTTACAAGAGGATCTAGCATCCATTTACACAAGCTGAGAATATTATCGAACGTAAGGATATTCCCGTTCTACAACAAAATCCTCATTCTTTATTATTTTCTTTCCATCCCCTAAGATTCTCCACCACGTCTAAAAACTCCCCTCCAAAAAGAAGAAAAAATATGGATTTTTCTTTCTTTGATGGTGTTTCTACGAGACAAAGTGTCTTAGAACTCTCGAGGGTCAACAAAAATTGACAAGCCAGGTGATGACTTTGTCCAGTCGCCAACAGGCCCGTCACTGTAGTCCTCCCCGAGCCTTTTGATGCACCATAAATCCTCTGCGCACGATAGCATTTTCCAGTGTGGTATCCCAAACTTAAGCGGTTCGCTATTTGCCACCTCTGTAGCCACCACTCCACACCCACTCTCTCTAGCCAAGTTGTGCACGTGACCGCACAACGCTTTCATCATTTTAGCCGCGCGCGGCCCTTCACCTCCCAGACCATACATAAAATACAACCCAAAAGGCCTGAACACCGCAGGCACTGAAGGCAACTTCAAAAACGGAAAAGCCTTGTCGACGATTCTTGTCGTTTTAGCAAATGTTCGCTTCAAGCGTGACGCGCCACGCACTTCAAGTCTAAAAACATCCTTGCAATTCCACACGCTAAGCACAGTCCATGACTCAGGCGGGTCGGATAAGAAGTGATCCGACCCGGCCCACAACCCAAATCTTAAACTGTCACGTGGCACAGCCAGAAAAGTTCCTACATTAAGCTTGTTCTTAAGGACGGAGTCGATATCACGGGGGAAAAACTCAGTAGTGGCGAAGCGACGTCGGTACAGCAACTCGGCGTCGGGTGGGGTAAGTTTGATGATTGTGACTCGGTTTGACACGGTGACTCGGTGAGCGAAGACCGGGTTAACCAGGATCGAAGGAGTACGGAACGTCGAGTAGCCGCATTTGCCGGTGAAGAGCTTAACGGAAGCGTGGTTGTCGCTTTCAGTAGCCATGTATGAATATTCAGCGCCGTTTTGACGAAACCAATCTTCCATTTGACATACCAATTTTAGCCCTAGACCCATCCTCCTATGCAAGAAGGAAAACGGAAAAGATTCATGGAAGAACAGAATAATATACATGCATGCATTAATTAAATTAAAATATTTTAACATGACTTTATTATTGGTAATTAAAAACCAATGAGAAAAAACCAAAACCACAAAAAAAAAAATATTTAGTCATACTATTAACATGGTTCGTTATGGAACCAATAATTAGGGGATCAAATATCATTTAATTAGAAGAACCCCTGGACTACATGTGACGAACCAAGATCCTTCCAAAAGCAAGTACATTTCTTCCGATCCGGTTAAATAAATAAATAATTGAAGACAAAATGCAACAGGACAATATATATATATATATAAGAATAGCAGCTAGCAGTAGTAAGGATGATGTAGGGCAGCAGTACTTACCGGTGGGAAGGAGAGATACGAAGGCCTAGAATGTAAGCCACTTTGGTGTAAACAGGGACTGGTTTGTAGGAGACGGAGTAGTTGTTCACTTTTCTTGAGATCCTCTCGCCACATGTGACGGTTTTGATGCAACCTCTTATCATCCCCACTATCTCTCCACCCATCTCAGCCACCTGTTCATGTAATCAATAGCACAACTTAGGCTATTACATGACATTGTGTAAAGACTGTCAACTAATCGAGCCACATGCTTTTCTTTTTCTTTAATCACCTTGTGAGGTGCTCAAAAGGTAAGTATGGAGGGGTGCAAATATTTAATTTAAAAGTGAAGGGAGTAATGTGTAAATTAAATACAAATTTAACTGTTATGCTTGAGGAGAGGAGGGTAATTATCAATATTGGAAGTACCAGCATGAGGAAAGCAGGAGAATTGCGGACTCTGCAAATTGGGTCACCTAGGAGGTCGGTGAAGAGAGAGAACTTGCCGCTGGAACCAACTTCACAACTTCTCTCTACTTCTTCGACACCAACTACATCTCTGCTTGGATCAAACTCTCTAACCACCATCATATCCATTCTATCTTCTCCCATATAAAAAGGGTCGTCTAGTATTCGTAAGAACTTGTAACCAAAATCCAACTAGAGAGAGAGAAGAACGAGCCAAAAGAAGCAGCTTCAAGAACTTTAGCAGTAAGATTGACGAAGAAGTGAAACGAGGGTTGTACGTGTGTGTGTGTGTGTGTTTGAAGAAGGGAGAACGAGTTCTAGGCAGTTAGGAGTTTAAATAACGTGTGAAATAAGCAAGGAAGGAGCAAAGGGGATGTGAACGAGCTAGTCAGGAGCTGTAGAACTTGGAAACGAGAGAAACCCCAAAAATCTCAAGAAAGAGAACAGCTAAGATATTAGATTAGATCAAACGCATAACAAAACAGAGAAGATGAGGGAGGAAATCAAAAGGGTTCGTTAGGCCCTTGGAGTTTCAAACTGTGATGATAGCTGTTTCAGGCAGTGAGTAGAACTATCATTGCAGAGATAACTCTAGCCTATGGCACGGCACCTATAAATACCGGATTTTGGAGGGTTTTTTTATTTTATTTTGCCACCTATCTCTTCTTCTTCCATCTGTCTGTTTATATTTCCTTTATTTTTTTTCTCTCCGGCGATGGAAACAATACCATTAATAAATGAATATACAGCAATGAGAGGTAGTAAAAAAGAAATATTGATCTTCACATAAAAAAATTAAAAATGGACGAGGAAATGGCGGCTATGGCTGCGCAGCTCCCTCTCATAAGCATTGGATTTAATCATTTAGGAGGCGTTGCCATCATGACCCCATTTGTAATCATTACTTCTTTTTTCTCTCCATCTCCCCTTCACATCCCATCCGTGCAATCACATCATCATTATCTTAACATCGATGAACCCATCCATTGATATCACGCCTTGCGTTTTTTCCACCCGGCTCTTTTCTCTGAGATATGTGCCTTAACAAAAATTTCCCATGGTTTTCTTCAGTTTTACACTGACTCAGGAATACTTGTACCTTGGGGGCAAAAAAAAAAAACAAGAAGAAGTATGTCATGTAATTAATTTAATTATAGAGGGTATTTTGAAACCCAATGGAGAATTTAAAACTTCTAGTATGGTGGGTTAATTTGTTAGTGGAAGAGATGGGAAGTGGCAAGGTGGGCAACTCCCAGTAGTTTTGGCTTTTGATTATTTAGTTTGTATTTATTTACACAGTTATACCGTGTTTTTTTTTTAAATATTTTTTTATTTTAAGTTGTTTTAATGTAATAATATTAAAAAATAATAAATACCGCAATACCTGCTAAAAAAGAGTTTTCCTTTTACAATCAAAGACAATTTTTTGTTTAAGGTAAATAATCAGTGAATAGTGAAATTGAAATGACAGTTCTTTAATAGTAATAGCTTGGATTTGCCGATTATGGTTATCCACAATCTCTGATGGACGGCCATAAGAAAATTTTAGAATTCTAATAAAAATTCTGGGAAAGTAATAAACGATAGAAAAATAATAAAAAATAATATATTTTAATCATAATGACATTCAACTATTATTTTTAATAATGGTGGGATACAATTGTTATGGGCAATGATAGTTGTTGTGAAATTTATATCCCTCTCAGTTGAATTAACATGTATAAAAAAATTAATCTAAAATTTTTATGAAATCTCTTGACTAAAAAATGAATTTCAAGATTCAATAATAAAAAAATAAAAATAAATTATTAGAAATATATCAAAATTTTATTTTTTATACAGTTAATATTGTTTGAAAAACCTTCACAAAACAATTATAATCATACCTTAAAAATCATCAAACATAATTATAATTTGTTATAAATTTTATTCAAAGTTAATTTAAGATTAATTATCATCTGATTTAGACATTTTAAAACTTTCACTAAATATTTTCTGAAATGTAATTATTATTTTAAATTGTAGTTATGTATAAAAATAATATTTTAAAATAAAATAATATTATATTATTTTTTAAATATTATTTAAAATAGTTGTTGTGTAGAAACATATTTTCTGAAATGTAATTATTATTTTAAATTGCAGTTATATGTAAAAATAATATTTTAAAATAAAATTATATTATATTATTTTTTAAAATATTTTTTTTTACCTTGTAATATTGCATCATAGCTTTTAGCAAACTATACTATATTTTTTTATAAAAAAAATCTCGGGCATGATGATCTAAACCAGGTTTTGATACTGTGCCGCCACAATCTACCTTTTGAAAAAGGCAAACAGATTTCACAATACGATGCAGCCCTATCATTGGTTTTACAGGTAGCTGAATCTACACTCTACAATATATAGATAATCTTTATCTGCAAATCATTATGATGTCACTTGACAATTTAGCCATGTTCAGCAGGAGGTTCACTTTGACTTCTCGCTTGCCCTTTCCCCCATTGCCTATTTTACAGTTACAATGACAATTAATTAACAAAATTAAGGAATATTTGGTTTTATATTTTAAAATAATTTAAATTTTTTTATATTTTTAAACTACTTTAATATATTGATATTAAAAAAATATTATTCTAATATATTTATAAATAAAAAAAATTTAAAAATAAATCACAATCACACTACCAAACACATTTAAAAATAACTCATTATTTTATTTTAATATTGTTTATGTTCTAATTTTTTATCATCAATTATATTTTTTTATTTTAATCATTAATTTTTTTTTCAATTGTATGTTTTAGTGGTTTTAGATATTATTATAAGTTGATGATTTCTTATCTTTGAGTATTATAAATATTTTTGGCTTTTTTTTAGCATTTAAAGCTTTATTGAAACCAATTTAATAAGATATAGTTTGGATTTAATTTAAAGAAGAAGAACATACCTAACAAACAGAATAAAACCACGTGACCAATTTTAAATTTGCTCCAACACACTTTTTAATCCTTTTAGTTTTTAGAATTTTAGTTTTGATTTATAACTTTATTTTATAATTTTTGAATTTGAGATAAGAGAAATAAAATCACATAAAAATAGTTAATAAAAAATAAAAAGTTATTGGTTAACTGTATTTCTACAATAAAAAAAAAAAGATGAACTTTGTATTAATAGATTTTATTTGATAAAATGAGTTTCATTAAAATATTTTATGGTCTTTCTCTTACCATAAAAGAGAAATATGGAGGCTCATAAAAATTTTAGAATTCAGGTTTATTTTTTTATTTTTTTGACCAATTCAATGCTAAATTAAGATTAGAAATTGGTTTCTTGAGATCTTTTTGGTATTTATTTTTCTAAGTGTTTTTCATGTGAAAATGGTGAAAATAGGTTTTTTAGTTCTAAAAGTCGAACCCTAACTTTCTGAAAGTTAATGAGTAGAAGAAATGTCTTCTGTTATTTAAAAAAAAAAACAAATAAGTCATCTGTTTAACTTAACAAAAACAAAAAAATGTGAAGCACACAAGCCTAACCTTACAAGCTCACAAGCCCTATAAAAACAAAAAAATGTGAAGCACACAAGCCACAAGCCCTACCCTTCTCTGTTATGGGCTAAGAACTAGCCCCCCAAATCTAGGGGCCTGATTTATTTTATGAAGTTTTTTTGAAATAAAATAACTAGAATTTTTTTAAGGATATTAATCTTTTAAATATCATTTAATTTTGAATTTATTTCAAATAAGATTATGACAATTTTATATAATATTAGCAAGTGCTCCTTTTTATACAACATTTATATTTTTTTCCTTGAAGTTTAGTCAAAACTAATTATAAATAAAATTATATTTAAGATATTATTTTATTAGATATCATTTAGTTTGATATTTAATTTCAAATCATATTCCAGCATTTTTTTTATAATATTGACAATTGATGAAGTCTTAAAAACTTTCAAATTAGATTTGAGCTTTCTAAAATCATTTTAGGCTGAGAGGTCTAAACTTAATCATTCAATACTCTTTTGCAAAAACAAGTCTTATATTATGATAGAAACCTCTAATACTTAGATCATTAAATTGTAAAAGAAAAAGAAAGTATAACCAAAACAAGAAAGTATGAGAGTGTATATTATGATGGATGAATGTTCTTATATGAACTTGTATTTTATATATTTACTTAGTAACCTAGTTAGATCAAGACTACACCAAAAGATCAATTAGAATATCTAATTGTTCCAATTATAAGATTAAAGATAAAGAAGCTCAAAAATATATTCAATAGGATTATTTAAAATATTTTAGCTAGGTTGTATTTTAAATAGGCAATATTAACAAGTGAATATTAGATTTTAGTAAATTTAATTCATACAAAAAAAGAGCTTAATTCATCCCTTTCTAGGCTTATTTAAATTTCATATCTTGGGCTTTTCTTGGAGGAGGCTTACGGCATTATTGAAGAAGTTGAATTAAAGAAGTTTTCTTATTTGATTGGAATATCAAGTGGTGACAACATGTGTAATTGGCTAAAAAAAATTTTAAGCAAGAATTTTATTCTACATTTATGTTTTCTAGTCTATCATAGATGGCAATTAAAGTTTTAATTATTTTTTTATTATTATGTTTTGGGCTTTATTTAAGGAATATTAGGGTTTATTTTATTATAAGTTGATGGCAGTCCATGAACTTCACTATGGTTTAATTTTTTTAAGTATCAATAGCATTGTGAACACAATATTTTTAGGTTATCAATTATATTCTTGCTGTATTTTTATGTGTGTTGTGAGAGATTTCTCTTGTTTTGTTTCTTCAAAGAACTTCCTTTAACTTACCTAAGAAATAACCAATCTCTGTTTTGTCTTTAAAACCATTAGGTGGGGGTTCAATTACTTATAGTTCTAGTGTCTCAATACAAGTTATTATTGTATTACTTGTTTGTAGGTTTCTAGATCTTTATATCCATGAGGTTTAGATTAATTAGTATTAGAGTAAAGCTCTAAATCAAGTTATATCTCTTTTATCTTCAAGTTTTTGCATACTTCATTGTTTTTTTTATCTTTTAAAAAATTAGTTGTGGCATCAAATAAACAAAAAAGGAAATTATTTGATATTTCGATTAAATAAAGTCTTATTAGAACAATAAAGAAAATCATAAAAAAAATATTTTTAAGGTTTGCCGCAAATCTTGATTCAAAGAAATGTAGAGTTCAGCTACTCGCTTTAAATCTAAAAAAAAATCTTGATTCATTGAGTTTTTTGGAGATAAATATTAATTTAAGAGATTTTAGGTTTACTCGAAAAAAAAAGGTAGTTTTTGGTTCAATTTCTTGTCTTTAGTTTCAGTCACCACATATGTGTGCGTGTGTATTGAAGGTGCTATTTTTATTTTGAGTCATTTAAATCTTATGTCATTAGTTTCTTAGTCGTCGTAGTCTTTTATTTCGTATCTTTATATTGTTCATATTTCGCATGAATTCATATTGATACTCACATTTTTTTATTGATAGGTGAACATATTAGAGTGAAAAGATAAAAATTTATGTGAAATAAGAGAAAAGTGGCACATATTGAGTGTAGACACATTAGGGAGTGTGTTAGGTATATATATGGCTACTAACTTAATTTTAAGTTCTTAATGACATCAACTAAGAATTGATCATC